CTTTCTTCCACCCAACACTGATTAGAACTATCAAATTATTGTTTTTTATTATTTTGAATTCTCACTTGAGTCGGAGTTTGTGCTACTTTCCGTACTTGGATTATTTTTCATGAGGTTTCTGATAGATTCTTATCTTGATAACCCTCATTTTTTCTCAGTCAAAAGAATTTTCTGCACCGATTCATAACTGATAGCAAGAATTGATTTGAAAGAGTGGAAAATTTTAACCTTAGTGTCCTTTCATCAATGGAGTTCCAGTGTTTGGTTCTAACTTCAGTGCAACTGAGCAGTTACACTAAGATCCCCATGATTTCCACCCACATAAAGAATATCAATTATGAGAGATTCGTATGCACATTTACTTCAATAGGTGCAATCTTTTAAACTATTGCATCATTTCTGCAAATTCTGTTACCAATTTTTCTTTATATTTTGTCTTACTTCACAAAATATTTGCAGGTTGCAAAAGAAAGTGCTGATGTCATTATACTGGATGACAATTTTACAACCATAGTGAATGTAGCTAAATGGGGACGTACAATATATATCAACATTCAGAAGTTTGTGCAGTTCCAGTTAACTGTCAATGTTGTCGCACTAATGATCAATTTTCTTTCTGCATGCATCTCAGGTGAGTTGGTCAATATCGCTCTAATGATCAATTTTCTTTCTGCATGCATATTGGGTGAGGTGGCTTTTTCATTCATGCAATATCACCAATTATCATCATCACCATCTTCTCTGTAACTTTCAGGATCTGGACTCCTTACGGTTGTGCAGTTGCTATGGGTCAACCTGATTATGGACACACTAGGTGCATTGGCACTGGCTACGGAACCGCCAAATGAGGGACTGATGGATAGGCCTCCTGTTAGGAGAGATGTGAGTTTTATTACCAAGGCCATGTGGAGAAATATTATTGGTCATAGTGTTTATCAACTGGCTGTCCTTTTAGTTCTTAATTACAATGGGAAGCAACTTTTGAGACTTACAGGATCAGATGCTACAGCCATTCTCAAGACTTTCATATTCAACGCCTTTGTCTTTTGTCAGGTATTATTTGAGGTTTAGAATATTATTTCGATCAAGTTATGTTTGCTAGTTCACTTGGCCACTATTACATCATTTTTGGTCCAAAAGTAACTTTTGTTGCTTTTTCTGGGTTTTTAATCTCTTATTTGGGTAAATAGATGAAACTAGCAAACATCCGAAAAAAACTGATCATGAATCCACTGTCCACATCAGTTTACTTTGTGAATCCTTCAGGTGCTATTAAAAATGCGCCCGGCAGGAAAAAAAAAGAGTACCCCCATAATGCTTCTAACTTTTTTTTTTTTTTTTTGGTGGATGCAAGTACTCATTCATTAGACTTCTGAATTTATTGATTTTTTTTATTACAGGGTGTTCAACGAAATAAACAGCCGTGAGATTGAGAAGATAACCTTTCTTCGTGGTATGTTCGATAGCTGGATATTCGTAGGTGTCATGGTTTCCACAGTAATATTCCAAGTAATAATAGTCCAGTTCCTGGGAACTTTTGCTAGCACTGTACCGTTAAGCTGGGAAATGTGGTTACTCAGCATTTTGATAGGAGCAGTGAGCATGCCTGTTGCAATTGTTTTGAAGTGCATCCCAGTTGAAAGAGAGAATGCTAAGCACCATAATGGGTATGATCTACTCCCCAGTGGTCCAGAACTTGCTTGAAAAAGGGGAGAAGGCAATACAGAATAGGTATTATCAAGTTCAAAACCCTAGAAAGTTCAAAGTGATCTGTCAAATTTTGTCGATGAAGGGCAGCATAAAAGTTCTTCAAAAAATAGGAAAAATGAAATTAAGTTGAAATAAATAAAGGTGGAGACAGAAGACATGTAGCTAATGCAAGATATAACCTTCTAATCTCTAACATGACCATCTAATCTCTAGAATGTAGTTAGTTGCTATTTGAATATTTAGGTATTCTTCATAGTCTCTCTCTTTTCTCAATGCTGAAACACGCCATCATGGATCTTTGTAGAAAGTATTTTTGTAGAAAATAATTTTTACAATGATCCATGACTGACCTGTTTGATCTCTGAGAAAAGACATAAACTATGAAGAATGACTTGAATGTCGTGTTGGTACAAAGAAAACTCCGATCACTAGTCTTTCTGGGTTGTTTTCTCTTCCTATGTTGGAATGTCAAGTTAATGTTGTACACTGTTTTCGTTGCATTTAAACGACAATATCTCAATTTCTCGACCAGTAAATTTGTTAGAACTTTTGTCTCCCCCTTTTTTTTGTTTTCCCCCTCAATTCAAGAATACTTTCCATGCTTTCTAGAATGTAATTGTCTCCTCTACGGTGAGAAACTATTGTAGTTGTCGACTGTTTTACTTTATTTTAACCGACTTCTACACCCATTTTTGTTCCTTATTTGCAATTTTATCGGTTCATAATTTGTATGTAGAGCTGGAAAATGTGATACAAGTGCAATCTTTCCTGTTTCTCTTTTTGTTTTCTAGCTTTTGTAATAGTATATTATGATACATGATGATCAGTGTATGCAGCTACTGATGGGATGCTTCGTTATACAAGAAAGATTTGTGATTGAACTACACGATATTTTCTTATCTGGTTCAGATTGGATGTATAACATATGAATTTTGTCTGTAAAAATGTTTAGATAAAATTTATTGATCGAATTTACTATCACAGTTGAATTTGCAATGGATAACAATTTGAATTGGTTTTACTGCCAATTCAATGGTAACATAGATTTTTTAAAGAAGAGTCATTGGGTGAACTGGTTGCATTTATGCCCTAAAATGTATATAAAAACAAATATAATTGATAGATAGACATTGCAAAGCTCCTCCACTTACTTCATCATAAGATGGGTTGAGCAACTTTTAGAATATAATAAAAATAAATATAGTGATAAATGATCGTCTTGCCTTATTCTCGGTTTTTTATGAAAATAACTTATTTGTTTACCATTAATCATTAGATCTGTTGTAATTAAATGAAGGGCAAATCTGACTTTGTTTTTTGAAAAATGTTTCAATTTTTAGTATGTACTTTCAAATATTAAAAATTTTAATTTGTACCCTTAATGTTATAATGCTTTGCTCAAAAAAATAAAACATACCATACTGGGTTAGAAAGATGATATCTTGAAGTGTATTCACAAGTGAAAGCATGAATGTGTAAAATCACGGTAGTTGATAAAATGTCCTTCATATTCGATCAATCAAATTGGCAGAAAGTGGACGATAAGCATTAGATTTTTATTTGTCTAATTTTTTTCATAACGCTAAGTGAATGATATGAAAAGCTTTAGTAGAGTAACTTGTAATTCCTCTCTCGTCAATTGTCATTTTAGAGAAATTTGTGGAAAAATTAGTGAGATGACAAACACAATTTTAGTGGTGGGACTTTCATTCGGTAATGGGGAGTCCTTTGGTCGCTTATTTACAATTTCAAAATGATATTGTTTTTCATTGGACGCCCAATAACAATTAAATTATAATCAATATGTAAAAACAAAGTTAAGAGAAACTGTAAGATTTGACAATTAATAAATGCATATGTCTTTGGAATTGGAATTAGCATAAATATATAAGTAATAAAAAAAATTATGGTGGGCCTATGCGTCCCAGTCCATTGTTACTAAAATATGTGAAATTCACGTGCTCACATGTTATCTTTTTGTTGGACGGTTACATCATATCAGTATGATAACACGGTGTAACGGTTACACCCAATGTTATTTTTTCCATCATGAGAGGTGTGTTTAAGGGAGTTTGTACACTGTAGAAGACCATACCAGATGAGTATAAAATAGAACTTTATCAAAAACCATAAAAAGAAAAAAAGCTAGTCAACTAATTCTTTGTATTGACTATTTGTCTAAACCCAATCTAATGATAAGAGCAATAGAAGAAAAACGAAAAACTATAAACTATAAACGCGTATACCTACCACCACGTGACTATTGAACTCCCGAATTTGCATATTGTCATTGTGTTTTACCCTTGTTACATATTACCTCCCCAAATTTTGAAAACTTACATATAATCCACTATAATTTTGGATCAATTCGAAACTATTACTACTTTTGTTTAAATCGATGAAAAGTTATTTCACCCTCCCCCGCCCGCGACCCGGGGAAAAAAGTGTTTTAAAATCAAGTAATGACATGCTTAGTAAAACCCTATATTCAGAGGTGGCCTGTGATATTGTGGGCCTAAAGCGACAATTAAAAAAACGATTTATTCTTCTTGTTTTTTAAGATATAAAGGTACTAATTAAATTTTTTTGTTCAAATTTTGCTGTCATATTTTTTTGCATAATATTTCTTGTGGCATATTTAATCTTAGATAAGATTTTATTAATTTTAATTTTTAATTTTTTTTTTTATGCAGAAGCAACATTTATATCTATAATATAAAACATGGTAGAATTTAATAAATCCATCTGATGGTATCAAATAGACTCATCTAACGATTACTAACATTCCTCTCAAAATTATTCATATTACATTGTACGTTCGGGTTCGAGTTATCCCTAGTTTACAGATAAGGAATAAGCGATTAAAAAAAATATTAAAAAATGGGAAGAAAGTATGGAGTAAGGACTCTTGAGTTGACCTTTACTTTTTATCGTTACTTTTTGTTATTTTTTAAAAACTTTTTGTAGTGTTTTTGGCATGTCTCTTTTGATACTTCAGTTAGTCAGTGTGTGAGAACAATAATACAAGTACTATAGTGTACGGTGATAACACTTGCGTCCCTGAAACCTAACTCTTCGGCTATTTATATCTTGAGGGAAACTGACAACTGTTTTAGAGAAGAGAAAAATCTTCCTATCATTCCACGTGTATGGTAAGTGTTTGCCTCATTGGAGGCTCTCTCCATCTTGTTGTAGGATGGCTTTGAGCGGTGCATTTACTATGCTTAGAAATAGCTTAAAGGTGACTGGCAGTATTAATGATTATCCTACTCACATTCAAACATTAAATGACGATCTATCACTCGATTGGTCCACGTGTGTGAAAGTTATAACGTCTTTCCAATATTTATTGGATCATGTGTTGGTCCCCACGTGGGTACAATAGCATAGCTGATCATTCTTTGTCACCTGAGTAGATAAACCCGAACTAATGGCCCATTTTAGTGCGAAACACCGGATACTAGTCGATGTACAGAGCCTAATCTATCAGTTGGACGAACATAGTACAACTCAGGGGGGGTCCTAAGATAGTACCCTTCTACACCAAGGTCATAATGGATGGAGAAGTTAGATTCCTCCTGGCCCCGTGCGACTTAGATTCTTGATGCACTTCAGGCACTGCCTGAACGTGTTTAGGATGGTCATGGGAGTTGTAACTCTGAACTCCCTGCTACGAATTAACTTAGGAGTGGCGGAGATCCTCTTCTACTATATGAGATGTTATTGACATCTTCCAAAAGTTATCACCTCAAAGTGCAGGACCCTTCCATGTACTTGGTGACCAACCTATTTGTCTCTAACAAGGGATATACACAAGACATTATGGTGACCAACCGGAGAGAGGTACAGGCCTAAATGCAATTGCTGTCCCAAGTGATGAGGAGTCAGGTATGTGGGTTTTCCTCTATTCCTGTATGTTACGCAATCATTTCTTCTTTTTTCCCTTCAGTATTGTGCCTAGGAGCTAGTGTACATCAGGCACACCTAACTTGACAACCTGGTGGTTCTTCGTCTATGTTTCCGTGTGCCTCAATTGGCCTCAGGCGAGGTGACTTCACCGAGGTGCAGTTGAGGGGAACGTATTTGGACTATTAAAGAAGAGAAGAAATGAAAAGAAGCCAAGTTATCATATTGGTGTACCATTAGAATTGAGCGACAACCTCAATTGTAATTTTGGAAATAAACCCTTGCACAATTAAGAAAACCAATTTTTCACATTGAATGTGACAACGATTCAGGGTGTTGTGTAGTTAAAAAAACGTTCAGGTCCTTTGGTTTCAGCTATCAGTTTTGGCTTATACATGGTATGTTTCATACATGGACAGTAGTCCAGTAGAACTACACTATCTGAGACACATAAGATGGAAGTCCTTGTATTTTCTTCTTGTACAAGGCCAAATTATGATTTCGGATAGCTTTTTCCTACCGAATATGAAAGGAAAATGGAAAAAATGCTATTCAAAGGCATGAGTTAAATTTATATGTTACACAACAATGGGATGAAATTGACAAATAAGCTATATAAGCTAACTTACTCTTTAGACAAGCAACGGTCTGATATTCACACCGAGGTGCTTAATTGCTTTGAACATTTATATGTTGAGGAAACAGTTGCTCGTACCTTGTGCCAGCATACATTACATTTGAGTTGTATTTGCATACACATGTTTGTGTATATTTTCCGGTTTTAACATCCTTTTTTCCCAACTCCGAATTCTTTTTTTCCAGTACATCAAATTGGATAATCCCAGTCAAATTGATTGCTTGTAATGATTTCCATCAAGTAAAGACTAACTGGGTGTAGTAGCCTGAATACCCTGTTCATTACAGCCAATAGGACCTATGAGCTAATGGTCATTGCACTTGCTTTGGGCAAGCTATCATATGGATGTACCATGCAACTAATGCTTAAGTTCAGATTCTGTTGTAATTTCTAGACATAGTTTACTGTATCATAAAACAATCAAAGCTAAGCTTCATAAGATCTACTTGAAAACCCATCATTTTGCCAGGTTCTTGCTATTCAGACAGTACTTAAAAGATGATGTATGTAATATAGGGGGGTTGTTGGTCCCGCTTAATTCAGTAGATTTAATATTGCTTCTTTTTCTTTGTTTATTTAAAACTTACCAGGATGATTTACGACTTGTCTTTAATGCTTATAAGGTTGCATTCAGGTTTCTTGATGGTATGTATTATATTCCTTCTTTAAGTTAATGGTTTGTCATCTAACTTTTAAATCCTATATTTGTTTTCCATTATGTGTTCTAATTTAATCTGTCTGCTTGCACAGCTGTTGGACAAAGTGACAGCAAGCTGGCACAAGGGACTAGAGAAGCAAGCTCTGAAGATGAGCTTTTGGAAGAGGTTGGGAGAGCAGCTTTGGAAGATGAGCTCTCGGATGAAGCCAGAGAAGCTAGCTTTAACATTCACCCAGATAAACTTGCATCTGTCGTCCGTAACCATGAAATCAAGTCCTTGAGATTACTCAGAGGAGTTGAAGGGCTTGCAAGCAGAGTAAAAGTCTCGTTGAATGAAGGAGTCAAAACAAGTGATGTGAGCATCAGGCAGAAGATATATGGCTTTAACAAATATACTGAGAAACCTTCTAGAAGTTTTTGGATGTTTGTGTGGGATGCTTTGCAAGATTTAACTCTTGTTATCCTCATGGTTTGTGCTGTGGTTTCAATAGGTGTGGGACTTGCCACTGAAGGATGGCCAAACGGCATGTATGATGGGTTGGGAATCGTAATTAGTATATTCTTGGTAGTCATTGTTACAGCAGTCAGTGACTACAAGCAATCCTTGCAATTTAAGGACTTGGATAAGGAGAAGAAGAAGATATTTATTCAGGTCACTAGGGATAAACATAGACAAAAGATCTCCATATACGACCTGGTCATCGGAGATGTTGTTCATTTAGCCACAGGAGACAAAGTTCCAGCTGATGGGATATTTATATCAGGATACAGCTTGTCGGTGGATGAGTCAAGTTTGTCAGGCGAGAGTGAGCCAGTAAATATAGATGAAAAAAAACCTTTTCTTCTCGCAGGAACCACAGTGCAAAATGGATCAGGTAAGATGCTGGTAACGGCTGTTGGTATGAGAACGGAATCGGGTAAGTTGACGGAGACTCTAAATGAGGGTGGAGAAGACGAAACGCCACTGCAGGTGAAGCTGAATGGTGTTGCTACAATCATCGGTAAGATTGGATTGGGTTTTGCTGTGCTGACATTTGTTGTGCTGACAGTAAGATTCTTGGTGGAGAAAGCACTTCACCATAAGTTTACAGATTGGTCTTCCAGTGATGCCCTGAAACTTTTGAACTACTTTGCTACTGCAGTAACTATAATTGTTGTTGCAGTTCCAGAGGGACTACCACTGGCAGTTACACTGAGCCTCGCTTTTGCAATGAAAAAAATGATGAATGAGAAGGCACTCGTAAGGCATCTCTCTGCATGTGAGACAATGGGTTCTGCTACTTGCATTTGCACGGATAAGACAGGGACACTGACGACAAACCATATGGTTGTTGATAAGTTCTGGATATGTGGGAAGTCTAAAAGGGTAAAAGGTGGGGAGCGTGGAGATATATTGAATTCAGAAACATCAGAAAAGTTTATAAACATCCTCTTCCAAGCAATATTTCAAAATACAAGTTCTGAGGTGGTCACAGATAAAGATGGAAAGAAATCCATTTTGGGAACAGCAACGGAGTCAGCATTGCTAGAATATGGCTTGCTTCTGGGTGGTGATTTTGATGCTCATCACCAGGAGAATATTATCCTGAAGATTGAACCTTTCTGTTCAGACAAGAAAAAGATGTCTGTTCTAGTGTCTCTTCCCGAAGGTGGGTTCCGAGCCTTTTGCAAAGGTGCATCAGAGATTATTTTAAGAATGTGTGACAAGGTCGTTGATACCAATGGGGAACCTCTACATATGTCAGAGGAACAAACAAAAAATATCAGTAATGTCATCGATGGTTTTGCCTGTGAAGCTTTGAGAACCCTTTGCTTGGCCTTTAAGGATTTTGACTACTGTCCAAATGATAATAGCATCCCTAATAGCGGCTACACATTGATAGCAGTGGTTGGAATTAAGGACCCAGTTCGTTCAGAGGTTAAGGATGCAGTTCAAACTTGTTTAGCAGCAGGAATTACTGTGCGTATGGTCACTGGTGACAATATTAACACAGCTAAAGCCATCGCTAAAGAATGTGGAATACTCACTGAAGATGGTTTGGCCATAGAAGGACCAGAATTTCGCAGCAAAACGCCTGAGGACTTGAAGGATATAATACCTAGAATTAAGGTTCACATTTAATTGCATTAAAGCAAGTAATATTTCAATAACAGGTAATGGTAGATGTACTTCTTTTATATACTGATTAGGTAGTGAATACAGGTATTAGCACGGTCTTCACCTATGGACAAGCACACCTTGGTAACCCACCTGAAGAATATGTTCAAAGAAGTTGTTGCAGTTACTGGTGATGGCACTAATGATGCTCTTGCTCTGCGTGAAGCAGACATTGGACTTGCTATGGGTATAGCAGGAACAGAGGTTTGTGTATACGCACTTTGGCCAGGCAGTCTCTGAACGCGTTCATTCAACGTCATTATTTTTGTTCTGATTCCTATAGTTATTGTTCTTTCTTCCACCCAACACTGATTAGAACTATCAAATTATTGGTTTTTTATTATTTTGAATTCTCACTTGAGTCGGAGTTTGTGCTACTTTCCGTACTTGGATTATTTTTCATGAGGTTTCTGATAGATTCTTATCTTGATAACCCTCATTTTTTCTCAGTCAAAAGAATTTTCTGCACCGATTCATAACTGATAGCAAGAATTGATTTGAAAGAGTGGAAAATTTTAACCTTAGTGTCCTTTCATCAATGGAGTTCAAGTGTTTGGTTCTAACTTCAGTGCAACTGAGCAGTTACACTAAGATCCCCATGATTTCCACCCACATAAAGAATATCAATTATGAGAGATTCCTATGCACAATTTACTTCAATAGGTGCAATCTTTTAAACTATTGCATCATTTCTGCAAATTCTGTTACCAATTTTTCTTTATATTTTGTCTTACTTCACAAAATATTTGCAGGTTGCAAAAGAAAGTGCTGATGTCATTATACTGGATGACAATTTTACAACCATAGTGAATGTAGCTAAATGGGGACGTACAATATATATCAACATTCAGAAGTTTGTGCAGTTCCAGTTAACTGTCAATGTTGTCGCACTAATGATCAATTTTCTTTCTGCATGCATCTCAGGTGAGTTGGTCAATATCGCTCTGATGATCAATTTTCTTTCTGCATGCATATTGGGTGAGGTGGCTTTTTCATTCATGCAATATCACCAATTATCATCATCACCATCTTCTCTGTAACTTTCAGGATCTGGACTCCTTACGGTTGTGCAGTTGCTATGGGTCAACCTGATTATGGACACACTAGGTGCATTGGCATTGGCTACGGAACCGCCAAATGAGGGACTGATGGATAGGCCTCCTGTTAGGAGAGATGTGAGTTTTATTACCAAGGCCATGTGGAGAAATATTATTGGTCATAGTGTTTATCAACTGGCTGTCCTTTTAGTTCTTAATTACAATGGGAAGCAACTTTTGAGACTTACAGGATCAGATGCTACAGCCATTCTCAAGACTTTCATATTCAACGCCTTTGTCTTTTGTCAGGTATTATTTGAGGTTTAGAATATTATTTCGATCAAGTTATGTTTGCTAGTTCACTTGGCCACTATTACATCATTTTTGGTCCAAAAGTAACTTTTGTTGCTTTTTCTGGGTTTTTAATCTCTTATTTGGGTAAATAGATGAAACTAGCAAACATCCGAAAAAAACTGATCATGAATCCACTGTCCACATCAGTTACTTTGTGAATCCTTCAGGTGTGTTGGAGTATAGATAGTAGTCTAGGTTTATTAGGATTCCTTTTCTCTTTTTTACCTTTACTATGATTTTTATATTTTGCCTAAACTACAAGGATGTTTAAGTCACTCTGTATTATTTTTGGCTATATATACGGGACTCTACTTTGAGTTTGAGTATCCCTTTCACATATTCCAAGTTGGTATCAAAGCCAAAACCCTAGCCTCCATCTCTAAGCCTAACCCTAACCCTAACCCTAACCTTAACCCTAGCCTTCATCACCTTCCCAGCAGCCACCGTTCCACTCCAGCGCCACACCCAAACAATCTGCAACAGCCTGCCCAACCTCCAGCGCCACACCCAGGCCACCAGAACCAGCGACAGCCTCCATAGAACCCAGCGACTGCCGACTGCCCACCGACCGACATACTCCAGCCAAACCAGCCGCTGCTCACCCAACTCCGATAGCCATTCCTTGTAACAGTTCTCCAATAAACTGCCCAGCCACCATTACATACCCACCAACCGACATACTCCAGCCAAACCAGATTGCACTAGCGACAACCCAGCATAGCATCACCGACCAACCATAGTATCACCATAGCATCACCGACCAGCCACTGTCACTGATTGGCATACCACAAACCAACAACATCAACATCACCGATCACCATAAAGCACCGAGCACCGATAACTGCCCGTTCACCGAATCAGTACACCGACTGAAGCGAAACACCGACTGAAGCGAAACACACTGTCTTGTCGATGTTGACACTTCCTTCTCTTTATGAGGTGTATGGGATGATTGAGCAGCATGAGCGTCGAGTCCGTATTGCATCACTTCCAGTTGCAGCTTTGACTCCTTCGATTGACCAGATGGCCCTTGCAGCTGCTGTAGGGTCCCGTTCAGGATCCTTAGTCAGGGATGGGCAACGCTCAGACCAGCGCCGTCAGGGCGCCCCAGATCAGCGCAGACGGGGGGATTCCCGTCAATGTGATTATTGTGGCCGACCAGGACATCTCAGGGCTACTTGCTGGAAGCTCCATCCAGAGCTTAAGCCACCTTCTCGCAGCCGTACTGTTGCTATTGCTGAGGTACCACCGCCCACTACCGCCACTCCTGCTACTGCTCCTCCTTGGCAAAGTGATATGGAAGCTATCACTTCCCGATTAGATATACTTATGTCTGCTCTGACTTCTCAGAGTCTGTCTACTGCTGCTGTCACCACTACAGGTATATCTCGTGCCTTTCACGCTTGTGCCAGTTCATCTCCCCTTTGGATGTTGGACTCGGGTGCGAATGGTCACATGACAGGTGAGGCCCATCACTTCACCACTTTTGACGAGCCATTACATACACAGGTTCAGTTAGCAGATGGAACACATGCCCCTATTGTTAGTAGGGGTACAGTCCGTCTCCCAGATGGCCTTACATTACATTCAGTTTTTCATGCGCCAAAGTTGGCCATGAATCTATTATCTGTACATCAGTTAGCCAGAGATTTTCACTGTGCGGTTGTATTCTTATCTGATTCGTGTTATTTACAGGACCTGAGTACCAGGAGGATTATTATCAAGGGACATGAGAAAGATGGACTGTATTATCTTGGCAATCCATCTCCAGTTTCACCAATTCCTTCACCTGCACCTGCTTTGTCTTTTTCTGTTCCTACCTTGCATGCTAGTATTTTACCTAGTAGTTGTCGTTATGATTTTTCGTCACAAACTGTTCAATTGTGGCATGACCGTTTTGAACATACAAATTTTAAATATTTATGTATGTTGTTTCCTGCTTTGAGTAATGCTTGTGTTGGTGGTAAACTTGATTGCGTTATCTGTTCCCTATCAAAACATGTTAGGGCCAATTATATTCCTCGCATGCACCAGTCACCCAAGCCATTTGACCTAATACACTCTGATATTTGGGGACCCTCTCCCGTTACTGCTCTGTCAGGTGCCAGATATTATGTGACATTTATAGATGATCATACCCGTTGTACTTGGGTCTACCTTTTGCATAGGAAGTCTGATGTGCTCCCTATAATCACTCAGTTTTTACAGATGATTAAGACACAATTCGATGTCATTGTTCGTGCTCTTCGTTCGGATAATGCCAAAGAATATGTGTCTGATGCTTTAGTGTCTCACCTTTCTTCTCAGGGTATCCTTCAGCAACTCACTTGTCCATATACTCCTGAGCAAAATGGTGTTGCTGAGAGGAAAAATAGAAGTTGATAGGGATGGTACGTTGTCTGCTTAGAGGCATGAGGGTACCAAAATCTTATTGGCATTTTGCTGTTTTGACTTCTACCTTTCTGTGCAATCGTACGCCGAGTCGTGTTCTTCAGCATAAGGCTCCCTTACAGGTCTTATTTCCTGAGCGGACACTTTTTCCGATCCCCCCTCGTGTTTTTGGATGCACATGTTTTGTTCAGGATCGGTCTCCTACTCGTCATAAACTTGATGATAAAGCGATTCGTTGTATCTTTGTGGGCTATTGTCACCAATCTAAGGGGTATCGATGTTATGATCCTATTAGGCGTCGTATGTATCACAGTCTAGATGTTACCTTTCTTGAGCATATTCCTTATTTTCCTTTCAGTCCTTTGTCTGCCTCTCCAGTTGATGATACTCCCTTTGATTTTCCATTACCACAAGAGTCAGAGTCATTGATCACTATCCCTACAGGGTCATCCGTTTTTCCTCCAAAGGAGTCACTCATCCCTGTCAGTACAGAGTTACCAGTCTCTCTTCCTTTGCAGGTGTATGCTCGTTGTCCTCACTCTCATCACCCTACTGATTTCCCCTCTACCTCAGGCGATGCAGGTAATACTTCTCAGTTTGTTGAGCATATTGATGCATCTATTGTTAGTACTGATGAGATTACAGGTGCTGAGCCAGTTACTTTACCTGATAAGATATTATCAGTAGAGGATGATGATTTAGGGCGTCGTTATCCAAGGCGTGATCGCCGTCCAGTTGATCGATATGGTTGGACCGCCAAGATTTTATATCCGATCTCTGCTTATGTTTCTTATGGTAATCTGTCTCCCACATTTCGAGCTTATACTATGGCCTTATCAGATACGCTGGTTCCTCGCTCTATTTCGGAAGCTATGCGGGAGCCCCAGTGGGTTCTTGCCATGCAGACAGAGATGGACGCTCTTCAGCGTAATCATACATGGGATCTTGTCTCCTTACCTTCAGGGGTGAAGCCTGTTGGCTGTCGCTGGGTTTACACCCTGAAGTTTCTTGCGGATGGTACTATTGATCGTTACAAGGCTAGACTTGTGGCGAAGGGCTTTACTCAGGTACCAGGTCGTGATTTTGGTGCTACATTTGCCCCCGTGGCAAAATTGACTACTGTTCGGTTAATTATTTCTCTGGCTGCGGAGTACTCTTGGCCTCTTCATCAATTAGATGTGAAGAATGCGTTTCTTCACGGTGATCTAGAAGAGATTATTTATATGGATGCACCACTGGGCTTTCGTGGTGAGGGGGAGTATGCTGGAAAGGTATGTCGACTGCGTAAGTCTCTTTATGGACTGAAACAGTCGCCACGAGCCTGGTTCTCTCCCTTCAGTGATGTAGTCATACGATTGGGGTTCACCAGGTGTCATTCTGATCATACCTGCTTTATTCGACGGAATACTTCTGGACAGTGTGTCATCCTTCTGGTATATGTTGATGATATTATTATTACTGGTGATGATGTTTCTGGGATTGCGCAGGTCAAGATAGACCTTGGGAAGGCCTTCGATGTGAAGGATCTTGGATTTCTGCGATACTTTCTTGGGATTGAGGTTGCCCGTAGAAGCAGAGGTATTGTTCTTTCTCAGAGAAAGTATGTTTTGGATCTTCTTTCAGATACTGGGATGTTGGGGTGCAAACCGGCATTATCACCTATGATTCCAAACCTGAAGCTTACTGCTGAAGGTGAGGAGTTGAAAGATCCGACAGTTTATCAAAGATTGGTAGGTAGACTTATCTACTTAGCCAATACTAGGCCGGACATTTCATTCGCAGTCAGCCGAGTTAGTCAGTTCATGCATAGGCCATGTCAGCCTCATCTTGATGCAGTTTATCATATTCTTCGGTACCTCAAGTCTTGTCCTGGACTTGGGTTGTTTTATGCATCAGGATCTCAGACCGGTTCTCTAGCCTGTTATTCAGATTCAGATTATGGGGGAGCATGTGATGGTCGATCTACTACGGGTTTCTGTGCTTTTCGAGGGACTCATCTTATCTCTTGGAAGAGCAAGAAGCAGGCAGTTGTCTCCCGCTCGTCCGCAGAGGCAGAGTATCGGGCATTGGCACTTGGCACATGTGAGATTATCTGGCTACGATCGATTCTTGACGAGTTGGGTTTTTCAGTGACCTCTCCATCCACATTATATTGTGATAATCAATCTGCTATTCAGCTCGCTTCTAACTCTGTACTACATGAGAGAACGAAGCATATAGAGATCGATGTTCACTTTCTTCGGGAGAAGGTCATCAGTGGTCTTGTTACTCCATCGTTTGTGGGGACCAGTGATCAAGTTGCGGATGTTTTTACCAAACCTCTCACTCTGTCTATTCTTCGGGACTCCGTGTCAAGCTTGGCTTAGTTGACATTTTTGCGCCTAGCTTGAGGGGGAGTGTTGGAGTATAGATAGTCTAGGTTTATTAGGATTTCTTTTCCCTTTTTTACCCTTACTATGATTTTTATATTTTGCCTAAACTACAAGGATGTTTAAGTCACTCTGTATTATTTTTGGATATATATACGGGGTTCTACTCTTAATTTGAGGATCCCTTTTCATTCACAACTATCTCAAGTATAACAAACTCATGTTTCATGTTATGTAGAAGAGTTGTCGATAACATAGTGAGAAACTGAGAAGAATGTCGTCAACATAGAGTAATAAGATAGCCATATGGGACTGAGTATGCTAGAGAAACATAGAGGCATCCAATTTACTACAAATAAAATTGAGTTTGAGGAGAAATTGAGCAGAGTGAGTAAAGCAAGCATGGGGGGCCTAAACCATAGAGGACCTTGTTCAGATAATAAACATGGTTTGAAAATTAAGGATAGATGAACCCGGGGGT